AATAATAATAATAAAGAAAATGGTTGAAATTTGGGGAAATTTAATTAAGGAATGTGATCAATACATCAATTTTGCTGTATAATATGTGTTAGGTCAATTAAAAAGAAAATATCTAAGTAGGCTTATTTGTTCCTCCATTAAGTTGAAATAAAAATCAAACAAACAAAAAAAAACAACAACAGGAAATTGGCATTGGTACAATACTACCAACTCAGCTACAGATCTTACTTGGATTTAATGGTTTTTATGTGCACGATTTGTGTAGTTTTATGGAATTCTATTGCATGTATGGTTTTTTTTGGACAATCACCACACTCTGAATACAAAACTGTGCAGTCGCCATGCAGAGACTCCCCTGATCACTTTTTTATAGGCACATCCTCTCCCAAACTAACCACTAGCAACCACCAGGGGCGGTCTGTTCTGCCTCCCTCTAATTTGTCATTTGCAGAGTGTTTTATAAAATAATACTCTATGCAACCTTTTGAGATTGGCTTTTTTCACTCAGCATCATGGCCCTGAGATGCACCCAAGTGTGTTCTTTTTCTGCTGCTGGGTAGCCCAATGTATGAATGTGCTACAGTCTACGTGGATGTGTGGGTTGCTTCTACTTTAAGGCTCTTGTAAATAAAACTGCTATGAATATTCATATACAGGTTTTTGTGGGAATGTAAGTTTTCATTTCTCTAGGATAAATACTCAGGAGTACAATTGATGATCATATGGCAAATGTATGTTTAACTTCATAAGAAACTGTCACACTGTTTTTCACAGTGTCTGCACTATCTTATCTTTCAACCAGCAATGTGTAAGAGATCCAGTTGCTATATATCCTTGTCAGCACTTGGTATTGTCCATATTTTTTATTTTAGACTTTCTCATAGGTGTGCAGATATACTGCAATTTTTGACAAAATTTTCTGAACAATGTCTTCTGCCTCTTCATTCCCTCTATGGAGTACAGTGGTGTCTAGCTAGGAAATAGATTTAACTGAAGAAATAAACTTGGCATCCAACATCTACTTAGCTATCAAAAATGTATCAGCTAGGAATATTCTTAAGAGTAATCTATGATTTTTTATCTTTGCACTGAGAAATGCTAATTTGTATGAGTTTTCCAAAGTTGACTTTGATGACCATGTGAAAATGTTAAGCTTTTTAACATTCTTATTAATATTGTTGGCTTTTCTCATAAAAAAATTAGTGTGTATATTTTTAAAGGCTGACTGTTCTGTAAATTGATGCTTTTGTTCAATAGATGGTTTTGTAAATCAGTGTCTTTGCTGATGAGATGGCGTATCGGACTCAGCATAGCATCAGTGTTTTGCTTTAAACTCTGATTTGGTTGTACTTGGAATTTACTGTATTTTCTATATTTACTATATTTGCTTCTTGTGTGGAGTCTGTTTTTTGAGAAATTGCATCTGTCATCTTACTGTATCCAAGAGAATTCTCATGTCTATTTTCTTCACCATTCCGTTTCTATTTATTAGAAATTCACTTTTAGACTGGTACATTTTCAAAAATTTAAATTGCACATAATGCTAGTTAATTCTGACCAGAAAGTAACAACTGCAAATTGAAACTGAGATCATATGGATGAAAGACACGAAATTTTAAAAATTTATACCAAAAAGTAGACTTTTACTACCTCACTTTTAAGATTAAAGTTATATTAAATGATTCAGATGGGGATAAAAGTTGCATACGCAATTATATATACTATATACCACTATAACTAAATATTCCAAAATAACTTTATGTACATCAGTAACATATTTTCAGTTAGAGAATAATTTATTTTTGTGCTCTAGAAGTATACTCTAATTTTTGGATCGGTATTTTGAGGAATATTATAAAAAATGAGAAATAAAATACAGAACATAGCATGATAATAGGTTACTAAAAGTAGCCACACCAAAAGTATTAAAATCTAATATAACTTATGCACTTTATAAGTTATCAATACAAGATACAAATTGATATGCACTTTTTCATTACTTTGTTTGTTATAATGCAATGTAATATGTGGCTAATATTATGTTATTTGTGAAGTGAGAATAGGACAGAAGGTAGAGCTTTCCTTTCATGAATAAATTAGCATGCATAAATTGAACTCTCATGTTCAGCTTCTGGAAATAATTAAATGAGTCCTGAATTAAAAAATCGTAAATAATGTTAACTTATTAGAAATCATGATCAAGCTTTTCCTCTGTGTATTTAGCATATTTAGTGGAAGAAAAATGTCTGTATTGCTAAAAACTAATTGTTCCAGCAGCGGAGAGTAGACATTGGATAGTCCATGCAATCCCTCCTGTGTATCAAGTTTCCATATGTATGCATGGGTGTATTTCTAGGCTCTGTTCTACTGTTTTATTTCCCTATCCTCATGCCAATAGTTAATGATTACATCAATTATTATAATTTGGTCTTCTTGAAATCAGAAGTGCCTTAACTATTCTCAGCTACTTGCTACTCTGCCTGAATTTTAGGCTTGTCAAATAAAAGTCCTGTTGGGATTTTAATTGGAATTGAATTTATAGACTAATTTGAAAGGAATGGACATTTTTATAATGTTTGATCTTCCTATCCATGAACTTGGTATAACCTCCCCATTTATTTCACTTCTTTTTGTTGTCATAGCACTTTAGTCTCCAGTATTCCTGAACTATCTTGAGATTTTTCTCAACAACCCTAATACTTTCTCATTCAGTTGTGATTTTGAGTAGTCTCCACTGCTGCCTGAGAAATTATTATTTAGCCTTTAAGTCTCAGCTCAGATGCCCCCTCCTCCAAAGTCTTCCTGCATTACTTTAGACAGACTTGGGGGAATGTCTCCTAAGGCCTCTGCCACCCAGAGTATTTTGCATATAGTTACAAGAGCAAATGTTTACTGATTGCTGACTATATGCCAAAGCACTGTGTTAAGTGCTCTCTGAGCATTAACTTGTATAGCCTTCAAAACAGCCTTTTGAAGTCAAACTGGTGCTATTATCTCCATTTATGAGAAAATAAGCTTAGCTAGGGCAACTTGTCTAATGCACACAGCCAGGACGAGATAGGGCCAGGATATGGTCCAGGCAGTCTGGCTCCAGAGCTCTCTGTTACATCCCCTTTAAAGCAGACACATTATGTAGTGAAATGGTGCACTTGTGGTCATTTACACATCCCAGAGAGAACGTTTTGATTGCACACCCTGGATCAGGCACTGTAAAAGTACTGGCTTGGTGATGAATAAAACTAACATTAAATAAAAATTATGGGGCTGGCCCGGTGGCGCACTGGAGAGGGCGGCGCTCCCGCCGAGGGTTCGGATCCCATGTGGAGACCGGTTCCCGCTCACTGGCTGAGCGCGGTGCGGGCGTGACACTGAGGGGTTGCGATCCCGTTGCCGTCCCTGGTACGGGCACGACACTGAGGGTTGCGATCCCGTTACCGGTCAGTAAAAAAGACAAAAAGGAAAAAAAACAAATAAAAATTATGCCATGATAATGCATTATATATTTCAAAATAGCTAAAATAGAGTACTTTTAATGTTCTTATCATAAAGAAATGATAAATATTTAAGGTGATGGATATGCTGATAGTAGGCCTGATAGGATCACTCCACAATGTATACATGTATGGGAAGATCACATTGTACCCCATAAATATATACAATTACTACTTGTCAATTAAAAAAAAATCTAAAAGAAATAAAAATCAGATCGATAAATACCTAGGTCAAATTGTGCAAAGTGCCCCAAGGGAATGTCACAGGTCACAGGAAGACAGTCATGAACTTGATTCAGGAGGTGTTAAGTTTTAGGGCCTGAGACACATACAGGCTGCCACAGGTTGGAAATTTGGAAATCTGGGACACAGGCGTCATGGCTGGGTTGAAGGCAGAGGACGGTAATCACTAAGGAGCAGGCCGTGGTTAAACCACAGCATGGATAAGATTCCCCCAAAAGAAGCTGCAGATGAGAAGACGGGAGGAAGGGTGAGAGAGAGCTGGTGGTATCTTTTGTATTCTCGCGTCTGCAGTGTCCGAAGCAGAGCTTAGCCCAGGGCAGGTGCTCTGTACGTGTCTGCTGGCGGGCGGGCTGAATGAATGGCAGGGGGCCGAATGAACGAACGACTCTGTCCGTGTAGAGAGAGACGCTTGGTTATGTCCCTTCTTCCACAGACCCCGGGTTCCCTTTGTACAATGGCAATAGCGACCCGGGTCGGGCGGGCAGCGGCGGCTGCTGGGGCTCAGTCCGGCCCTTCGAAGCAGCGCACGCATGGCCAGGCGGGGCGTCCGCGGGCTGCGCGGGTGTCCCCTGGACGGAGGCCGCCTCGCCTCCCTCGGGGTGCGCTGGCTGGGAGAGGGCGCGCGGTAGGAAAGGGGTGACATGCCTAGAGGAGGGTCAACACTGCGGGGAAGCCGGGTGAGACTGGGGGAAGGAAGGGACCGCGGTGCGGGAAGAGCGCGGCGCGGTCACTGCCCCTGGAAGGGACCCCTCCAGGACGGAGGTGGTAGGGGCGGAAGTAATGGGGTGAAAAGGACAGCGAGATTGAGGAGATGGATCTGAGCCACCCGGGGGCAGGTGGAGACTTGCACCTGGGACCTCTCAGAGCCCAGGAGAGAGCAGGTGCGATTGCAGGAGGGGTCCGCATTCAAAGCTGGCGGAATGAATGACCGTTCCACCCCCACTTGGCAGCCCCGGAGAGCGCCTCTGCACAGGGCAGCGCAGAAAAGCCTTGGAGAGTCGTGAGGTGCCCGGGCCCAGGCCGCCCCTGAAGGGCTGGTCCGAATCGCTGGAGTCCGCAGACACCTCCAGCCGCCGCCGGGTGGCAGAGTTGGGGGCAGGCGCGCCCCACCGACCCCGAGGGGTGGCTCCGCCCCAGGGCCGCGGGGAGGCCCCACCGTGGGGGAGGCGGAGTTGTCGCCGCCCCCTGCCCCATCCCCGGGGATTGCGGCCCCTTCTTAAACCCCAGGAGCCTCCAGCTGCCCCTCACTCGTCTCTTTCCCGCGAGATGGCCTCGGCGCGGAGCTATATCTCCAAGTTCAAGTCCTTCGTGATCCTGTTCCTCACCCCGCTCCTGCTGCTGCCACTCATCATTCTGATGCCCGCCAAGGTCAGTTGCGTCTCCGGGCAGCCCCGCGGATCCCGGGCGCCCGGTGCCCAGTAAGAGGCACCGAACCCGGGAGCACTGAGTTGGAGCGCACGGATTCTCGGGCGGGACCGCCCCCCTGGGGCGCGCGCACTCGGGAGCTCGAGGAGCCCGATTGGAGTGCGCTGCGAAGAATCCCGAGGGGCACGAAGACCCCGGGGCGCACCGACCTTGGGCTTGCAAATTCCAGGCGCAAGGGCCGTCAGGTCAAGCAGAAGCCTAGAAGTGAGCACAGATCTTAGCCACACAGACCCCATTCACAGGCTCAGCCCCCGGCTTAGAATGCACAACTACATTTCCCCTCCGAATGCCCCCTCGCCGACAGGGAGCCTGGGCGCTTGTCTTTTCCTCCTCCTGTCTCTCCTTTCCCTTCCCTTGGCGAATGGAGACGTCCCAGCTGTGGGTGGCTTCAGGCGTCAGTCAGGAACCTACACAATTATATCATCACCTCGATGGATCCTGGGTGCTGTCTTTGCCACTCTCTGGCCCTTCTTTGGACCTCAATTTTCCTACTACTTATGATCCACAATTTTTTCCCGCTCTGAAACTTGGGAGGCCACATCTGAGTTAAAGTCCCTCTCCAGGCTGAAAAGCAGGTCCGGTTGGCCTCCTTTGCCCACTGCCTGCTGTGGCTGTGGCAGGAGGCGGGACACATTCCCAGAGCTCACGCCTTGGGTGGCACGACCCGGGGTTGCTGGGAAGCTGCCTCCCATGCCCTGGCCTCCTAGTGCTCTGGGGAGGAAGGGAGAGAATGAATGGCGTTGGCCGCAGGGTGGGGGCAGGGCCGGCGCTGAGCCCAGGCTCCGGGGGCTGTGCACAGCCAGTTTGGCAGAGACCAGAGCCCTTTGAAGCCTTTTGTGGCTGCTAGCTGCTCCTTCCTCATTCCCTCTTTCACTCTCAGCTCAGACAGGAAACCTCCAACTCCCTCCTCCCCTCCCCGGGCACGTTTGGGAAACAGAGGAACTCTTCAGGGGATGCTCTGGGGGCAACCCTGGGGGGTTGTGTGTTTGTGTGTGTATTTCTGGGGTGTCAGGAGGCCAACCTACAAGAGAACAGAACTTACACCATTCACTCATCCTTGAGGCTTTAGCCAAGTCCCTGTGCTCTCTGGGCTTGCTGTTCTTATCTGTACAATGGGCAAGGTGGCTTGGCTCTGACACTTTAAACCTTTGAATATCAAAAGGCATTATGTTGGCTCCTAGGATGGGGGTTGGGGGGAGACTGGGAGGAGCCCTTGGTGGGCTTGAGCACAGGTGCTGCAAGTCCCAAGACAGCAGATTTAACTGTGGTGGTTCTTCAGATGCCACACCAACTGTGAACAGACACATTTCCTCTGTAGAAAGAGATTTGGGGCTATTACTGTCGGTTCAAGGGAACTAGACAGCAGAGCTGTGATTTTAGTTCTGCTAGTAGGGAGTGATGCTCCCTAGAATAATGATAGTAACTTGGCTGACCTCTGCTTCAGGTGAGTGTGACTGAGACCTCACTCCCACCCTGACACACGCACACACACACACAGGCATGCAGGTGGGCCCTAAGCAGGGACTCCAATTCTAGGTGTGTGTGTGTCAGTGAGCTGCCCTGAAGTGGGGACAGGGAGAGAAAAGAGGAGACCCCAGTGAGCCCTTCCAAAGGCTGCCTTCACATGATTTCCCTCCCTGGATCGGGTGACTAGGAGCCTGGACTCCTGTCTTCTTGTTTTCTCCATTTGTGCCTCTGTTTTAGTCACCACTGGAGAGTTCCCCGCCCCCATCCTCCACAGCCATCCCATTGTGCAAGGAAACCCAGAGGTACACGGCACGCAGGACCTCTGCAGCCTGGGCAGCACTGTCCCCCAGGACACGTGCCCTCTGCCAACGCCCCTCCCCCCCTTCTTTTCCTCTCCTCCACCTTCCTTCCTGGCCTCCTTCCTTCCTGGCCTTCTCCACCTTCTCTGTCCTTTCTCTGTGTCCTTTTTTAAAAAAAAGTCATTTTAATAAAATAAGCTAGACATTTATTGTATTGTTTTATTAAAATTGAAAAAAATTCTTTTTTTATGTCTACAAAGTATAAGTGAAAATGAAAATACCCTCGAATCCCATAACTTATTAATATTTTGATGGATATCTTTCCAGAAACCAATCAATTAATCTCTTGTCTCTCCCTATACACACACACACAAACACACACAAACACACACACAAACACACACACAGACACACACACACAGAATATGTTCTGCTTACATTTTTTCATTAAGCAATGTGTCAGGGACACCCCTCCTTGTTAATGATTATGTAGATAATGTGCTGTGGTTTTATTCAGTTGTACATTTGTTCACATGTGCATTCAGTTGTTTATATCTGTTTATGAAGCCCATGTATCAGGCTCCGTGCTGGGCACTGACTTTTAAATCTAATTGTCTGCTTTTCCAGACACTTTCTCAGCTGCAGGGAACTGTTTTTAACTTATGCACAAGAAGCCAGTTCCTCTGTAGGTAGAATTCATCTCATTTTTCACAGTTACCACCCCCTCCCCAGACCTCTCTAACATTCCCTGGCCTATTCTGCCTTTCCACTGACACCGTGGGAGGAGCACTTTAGATGAGGGACGGTCAAGTTTGTCAATTGGTGTTATTTAGGGGTGAGGACCTCCTGGGCTTCCTAACAGTGGCATGGGGGGGGGCAGAGTTAGCCTTTGTCCCATCCTCTTTTCTTTCTTTTTTTAAATGGAACGCTTCACGAATTTTCGTGTCATCCTTGCACAGGGGCCATGCTAATCTTCTCTGTATTATTCCAATTTTTTTAGTATTCGTGCTGACGAAGCGAGCATCTATCCTCTTTTCTAACGGTTATTTTGGCTTCTCCAGGAACTTACAGTGAAACCTGGTTACATGTGCCACCTACTGCTTCTAAGTTTAGATAGTAAAAAATGACTGAGGACTTTCTGTGTGTCATACATTAAGAAGGGACACTCTGAAATCCTCCATTTACAGATGAGGACATGAAATAAGGGGAGAAAGGAGCTGGGATTGGGAACAGGAGGAGTGATTTATCAATGACATTGTTTCGAATTGCTATCACATGATGATAATAAGGAGCAGACTTGTTTTTATATATATTATTGTTTTAAAACTCCCTACAATGTGCGCTCGTATTGCCTGACCCCGCAGAGGATCTTTGCTACCACCCACCCCCGCAGTCCACCCCTGAAATCAAGGCCTGGAGAAGTTAGTGAGTGCTGAAGGCCAGACAATGCAGACAGTGGACATGGATCAGGGTTGCCTGATGTCACAGCCTAGGCTTTTAACCACACTACTGTTCTGCCTTTAGTCTGGGGGCTCTCAACCAGCCTCATCTCCTCTCTCCTCCCACAGCAGGGGACATCTGGCAAAGTCTAGAGGCATATTCTGTTGTCACAACTGGAGAGAGTTGCCACTGGCATCTCGAGGGTAGAGGCCAGGCATGCTGCTGAACATCTTACAACGCACAGGGCAATCCCCACAACAAAGAATCATCTGACCCAAAATGTCAACCTGCTGAGGTTGAGAAACCCTGCTTTACACAGTAGGGAGGTGGCCTAGGCTGTTCATGAGATGCCGAAAGATGTGTTTTTTAATGACTGATAACACAACCCAGACAAAGAATTTCTAAGTCTTGCTGCAATGTTTCATGCATATCGCACATGTTCTTTTGGGTGATGATAAACGGTGGTAGTGTGTAGGTACGTTTTTCCAGCAGGGCTGTCAGAGCTTGACTCACACAAATGCTGGCTGATTCCTTCATAAGCATTTGCTGAGAATCTCCTAAGTGTCAGGCCTATGCTGAATGCTGAGGTCAGAGTAAGTCTACACATGCTGTTTCACTCTCAAGTTGCTTACTGTTTGGTAGTGGTGGTGGGGAGACTTAAGGATCAATGAAAATCCAGTTTGCTAGTTGCTGGGGGTTGGCTACTCAGGGAAGGGCACAGATCAGACTGCAGAGGGGGTCAGGGGAGGTGAAAAGGAATGCTGAGTTGAGCACTGAGTCCTCACTCCAGGCCAAGGGAGAAGGTGAGAGGAAGAGGCTGCGGGAGGGAGAGCATCTACCTTAGTTACTGCAAGTGCTGTGGGGTAGCTGGAGCTCGGGCTGTGAGTGGGGAGGAGGTGGAGCTGGAGGGGTCAGCAGGGCCTGGTCCACTGCAGAGGGTCTTGGAAGTGCTGCTAAGGCATTTGGGTTTTGTCCTCAAGGCAACAGGAGACTTTTAAGCAAGGAGGTGATGTGATCATATTTGCAAAAGAGAAAGAGGAAGGATGGTGTGGATTGATGGATATGAAAAGACTAAATCAGAAGAGGGTTGCAGCAATCCAGGCCTGAGCAAAGGCAGTGGTCTAGGATGAAGGCAGGAGTGGGGAAGAGGCCAGCAATAACAGGGCAGAAGTCATAGGTCTTGGCGAATGATTTAATTGGAGGGGCTATAATAAGGACAAGGCTATAATAAGAATGCTGATGACACAGAAGACAGCCTAGGGGGGTAGGTATTGTTATCCACACCGAGGGCCAAGGTGGTTAAACTACTTACCCACAGTCCTATAGTGAGTGAGGGGCCTGGGCAGCAGGTGCTGGCACGGGAGCCAAGCTCTGTCCCACCCCAAAGCCAAGGTCCCAGTAAGTGGCTAAAGTATCTGAAGGACAATCCACACACAATTAAATACAAATAGTAAAGCTTGAGACCTTGATAATGAGAGAGATGCTAATGAAAACACCAAGCACCATCTTCTCAATTGTAATTAAAAAACCAAATAAAAAAAAACAAACAAAAACCCTTGGAAACCAAGCTGGTGATGTTCTGGATGAGCTGGGAGCAGGGAAAGTTGGAGCAGCCTTTTGAGGAAGACATTAGGAATAGGTACCAGGAACTGGAGGAGGTGTTTAGGGGAGTCTCTCCTGAGGAGCAATTTAAAAATAGGAGAGCTGAATAAAGTCGGGTGATCAGAGCACCCTTTTGAGGACAGAGAAGAAACCACATTACTCAGCTTCAGGAGGGCCAAGGAGAAGCGAAATGAGCTGTCAAACTTATGGAATATTTTCTGTTTTAAAAAACCAATATGAAGATTATGTAACCATATGAAAAAACGACTAATCTTAGAATGCTGAGAAAAGGAGGCAGGATTGAAAGAGAACACATGGAGAAAATGGCACTTACTTTGCAGAATGATTTTGTTTAGTACTTAGAGCAGGTCATTAAAATGGTATTTTTTTCTTTTCCTCCCTCTCTCCCACCTCATCTCCCTTCCTCCTCCTTCTTTTTCCTCTTCTTCTGTGTCCTCCTGCTCGTATTCCTTCCTTTTGAGAGGTGCAGTCACCTTCAAATCCAAGATCTGAAAAGATGAAAGAGCTTGCTGGGGTCGGGGAGGCGGGCCGGAGGGGTGGGAGTGGGGACGGGAGTCTCCTGGTGCTAGGTCCTGTGTCCTCCTCACTGGCCTGAACCTGGAAAGCTGTATTGACCTGGAACGGGGAGCAGGATGACCCGGAGGGTGCGAGCATCCTGGCGGGGATGGGGGCGGCAGCCACGTGCCGAGCCTCAGGGCGGCCTCTTCAGTTTGTCAGGTGCGCCTACATCATCATCCTCATGGCTGTTTACTGGTGCACAGAAGTCATCCCTTTGGCTGTCACCTCCCTCCTGCCTGTCTTGCTTTTCCCACTCTTCCAGATCCTGGACTCCAAGCAGGTGAGCAGACCCAGGGGGTCCTGTGACTTCCTGGTTCTCCCATTGACTCATCCTCCAGGCCCCTCTGAGCTGCCTGGGTCTGGGGGTGGCCAGGTAAACCCTGTTGTGGACTCTCTCTGGCATGGACATACCACTCGAGCCTGTGTCCCTACGCCAAGCTGCCCCTGAAGTTGGCATCTGGCCTACTTGCCTGTCTCTGGGGACTGGGGTGGTCCTGGGCCCAAGCAGCATGTGGCCAGGGGACAGCCCTGACAGGGCATCCATGCCACCCTCCAGGTGTGTGTCCAGTACATGAAGGACACCAACATGCTGTTCCTGGGCGGTCTCATCGTGGCCGTGGCTGTGGAGCGCTGGAACCTGCACAAGAGGATTGCCCTGCGCACGCTCCTCTGGGTGGGGGCCAAGCCTGCACAGTAATTATACCTTCTCTCTCTTGCCACATGGCTCTGTGTGGGCCCCCAGCGAGGGGTGTGTGGCATAGACCAGGCCACCCACTGGTGAGGGCTGACCACAGGCCTGATAGGCTGGCCCCTGGGAAGGGCAGGTTACTGTCTTAGGTGGGAAGACCAGGTACATGCACGGTGGCGGTGGCAGTGGCAGGAGGTGAGCTGCAGTAGGTAAGGGTTCTTTGAATTCCGAGGAGACTGGTCAGCAGGAGTCCTTGCAGGTCTGGAAGTTTCCTGGGGAGGCAGCTGCAGGATTCCACAGGGAACTAGCTGGATGGAGGCTGGGTCAAGCCAGGCCTGATAGGGAATTTGTGGGGACAAACAAGCCAGAGGTGGCTCAACTGCCCAGCTCAGGAGGAGCAGAAAGGACATCTTTCCAAAGCTAGGATATCTATTCACCCTACAAAGAAGCTTCTTACCTCATCTCCCCCATATCATTTAGTATCTCAGCTTCTCCCCCACCATTCAGCACACAGGCCATTCCAGCCATCCCACAGAGTCGAGAGTCACACTCATACTCATAGTGAGTATAGTGAGTGTCTACAATGCCCAGGCATGATGCTGGGACCTTATTTACCATCTCATTGAATTCTCACCACAACTCTGGCAGTTGGGTGTTATTCCTACCACCCATCCTTCTATAGATGAAGAATTTGAAGCAGAGAGGGGTGAAGTGATTTGCTGACAGTCACTCACATGGGGCTTGGACCCAGCCTCTCTGATAAGGCCTGTGTCCCCTCTAATCATGAAGTCAGGAGGCATTGCTCTTTTGGGGCAATGTGCTCCCTAAGTGATGAGGCGTCCTCAGCCCAGCCCTCAGAAGACAGCTGTTGGTTAGTGCACAGTGGATACTCCTGAGATGTCCCTGTGTCAGGGACTGGGCTAGGCCCTGAGCACACACAGACCTTGGTGCATCAGACTCCCCTAAGCAGAGGATTTGGTGGCTCTCTTACCTGTTACCTTGCAAGGCATTGATTCCCTCTGGTGATTGGCTTATAGGGTCAAGCCACAATCCAGTGCATTTTCTGGAAATGTGAGACCTTGGGAGAGTGGATTAGGGCCCTCAGAGTTCTTGTTCTCAGGTCCTTTGGGTGGCCAGCTTTTCTCCATCAGCAGGAGGCCACCGCAGCGGGCTTCATTCTGGAGTGTCTGGAGAGATTTTGCTTCCAAGTCCAAGAGGTTCCCAGGCGCTTCTCTGCTCCTTCCTGCAACCTGGTTCCTCCTCTGAGCTTGGCTTCCAGCTGTCCATGGCACCCAGCTGTCCCAGGGTGACCTGTGTGTGGAGGCCCCTTGGTGCCTTGAAGCATCGTGTAGAAGCCATGGTCCTTCTAAGACAACTCGCATTCATGCAAACTCTCACCTCCTCCTAGCCCGGACTCCAGCCTTTGTTTTTATGGGTCTGTGAGGTCCACCTGTGAAGTCAACTTGTATAGACACTTGCTTGAGCCTTGGTGCTGTGCAGTCCTAGGTCCCTTCTTCAGACTCCTACCCCCCAGCAAATGAGTAGCCCTGAGGAGGAGCTTGACAGCAGAGGGCACAGAGACCAAGGGCAGTTGGGCTGCATTTGGCCAGCTCTCCACGCCCCTTCTGTTCCTGGCCTGTACAGCTAGGGTGTGTGGGTGGCACAGAGAAGAATCAGGCCCTGCCCCTGCTCATGGCCTAAGGAGAGAGAAGATGTGGAACTGGTCCTCTGAACCCAGCACAGGGATGAGTGTAGGAGGGACAGAGGGTGAGACGGGCGTGGCCAGCCCTCCTGGTGTGCACTGCGAGGGAGGCCACAGAGGAGGGACTATGAGGAGTTGCCCAGGTAGACGGCAGGAGTGGGAGCAGGGGCCGGGGGTGGGAGCAGGGGCCGGGGGTGGGAGCAGGGGCCG